AGTCATAATCAACCGTTTGCTTCATCATATCAGCATACATTAATCGAGGAGTTGCGTTCCGCGAAAACAGCAGCTTCACCCATATCATCTTACATGTCCGATCGCAAATTGTTATCCCCACTGGAGGAAGGTCTCTTAGGTAGCTCCGAAGTGCTGCCGAAAAATCGTAAATCCATCGAAAATCAAAGGCCCAGACCGCAAAGTCCCGACACTGCACTACACATCTCACCACAGTTTGCTTACCAATGGCAATCGGCGCAAAACCCTGCCATCTCCACCTTCTCAAATCTGCAATCTGGTCTCAATAGCATACCACAGATAGGTGGCGTAGGTGGTGGTGGTGGTAGTGGTGGAGGTGGTGGTGGTGGCGGCGTTGGCAGTAGTGCTGTCGAGGCAGGCAGTCGTGATACACCAGGAAGTGTTCGTGATCCCCCTTCAAACAATTCGAATATATGTGGCACGCACAATACGGCACGTGAATATCGTTGCGAATACTGTGGCAAACAATTTGGTATGTCGTGGAATTTGAAAACGCATTTAAGAGTACACACGGGTGAGAAGCCGTTCGCTTGTCGCTTGTGCGTTGCTATGTTCAAACAAAAGGCCCATCTATTGAAACATTTGTGTTCGGTTCATCGAAATGTTATAACGACGACAAATGGTGCTGAAACCGAAAATCGATTCAGTTGCTGTTTTTGTTCAATGTATTTCGAATCAGTACAAGAGTTAGTGAGGCATTTATCGGGGCACCATAATAATTTGCTGCTAACAAAAAATCTACGCGAATAAAATACAATCAAAAAAGGAAAAAATTAAAAAAAAAATAATAAAAATAAAATAAAAAAGAACGCAAGCAAAGCTTAAATTATTTTTAATAAATCTACATGCATACATAACTACATGAAAACATACTTATTACATAAAAAACACGCACACACACACAAACATATACATACACACGCATACACATACGCATACTTACAAAAGTATACATAATTGTACTTTGAAGACGGAAAGTGACCTGAATTTTTACTTTGTTTGCAGTCAGAACCTGCAATATTTTTTATATAATTCCAATTCTCTTTTATATACGTTTTTTTCATCACAATGAGTATTTGTAAATTTTCATTCAACTTTATAAATAATAAAATAAATATTGATGTGAAAACGTCTTGTAAATATATGTTCGTTTCATTGCCAAGGGATAAGGTGAAAAAAAAACAACAACAAGAAAATTGCTGAGGAATACCTTGTGTTCTTTTGGGCATTTTTGAGGAGATCCAAATATGTGAAATATGAGATCAAAACATAACGGCAACTTAAGTAACTTCATGGTGCTATATATCGAATCAGCTGATCGATCACAATTTTCTTATGTATAGTACTTTGCAACGCGTTTTGACGCTAAATTGAGAAAGTTAAATTCTCAAAAAATAATCGTTATTTTAATATTTTCTGGTGTGAAGTTCCTTATTTGGTAGACTTCTATTTTTCGATCATATTTAACAGTTATGTTTTGATTGTTGTTTTTTCAGTTTTACGCCGACTCCGAACGGGGATTGTATTTTTATGAGTAGCTGCTTTTCATGGCTGAAATACACTCGGTGGTTTGCCATTGCCTGCCGAGGTATATTCTTTTCATGTTTTCCGTTGTATGCTTGTATATGTAAACAAATTTTCGATCAGCTGTACTTAAAACCTGCAAGTTTTTGCTGGTTTTGCGTACGCGTACTTTTGCGAGTTTTCTGCTAGAAGAATACTCGAATACACCTAATGTTGCTATGTTCGAAATTTTGTTTTATGGAAAAAAATAGTGGCACCGCCGGCGAAAAAAAGAAATATCAAAAATTAACGCAAATTCTTAGCTTAGTGAAACTTGCACTCTATTACTGGATCTTAATGGGCTACAAAACTGTATACTTAGAAGTGAAAAGTAGTGAATAAAAACTTTATGAACACTTTTTCAATTTCTCTAAAAAATTAAAACAAAAAATTTAGGTAGAAAAAAAGTATTTTTTCGTATTTTGACGAAAAAGTAATATCCATTTTTGGAATCAAAAAAAAAAGTGTTATACTACTTCGAAAAAAATGTAGATGAGAGCGATAGTTATACATTACAAACTTAACTTATAATAATAAAATCGAACATGGTCAAGTAAAGTGAAAACTTTGCACCTAAATTCAATTTTAGTTAGGTAAAGTAAGTTAATTTTTCTCCTATATTTGTTGTGTTTTATAAATAAATGACGCTGCTCAACTTTAGTCCGAGGCTCGTAGTACAATGTATAAAAATCGGTAAAATTAGTAAATTGGCTAATTAAAGTTTTATCGTCTTTTGTTTGTTACTATTGTAAAATTTCATTTATCTTAAATATTCAACGAAATTTCATTAACTAGATAGGCGGAAACCCTATTTAAAAAATTTTCGGGCCTTAAGTGTTCCTAAATAAATGTCTTGCGTTTCATTTCCTTTTTTTCCATTTTCTATTCCAATTATAGCTCAATACGTAGTGGAAATTAAATATCAGAAAGCTTTCCTAAACTGTACAATTTTTTTTTTTAACATCCCAATATAATTCCTAAACTTTGTGCAAAACTCGCGAAAATTCAGCAAATTTTCATCAAAATTTTCAACTTTTTAATCAGATTTTTTAGAATTTTTTTGAGTACGCAGTTTCTAGTAAAAAAATGCAAGTTCAGAGTTAGTCAAAAATCGCGTTGATTTTTGAGAATTTTTTTTTGTTGAAGGTGTTTTGCATTTTTTCCATATATAGTATTTTCGAAAAAAATTTTTGTATGGAAGAGACTGCGTGAAAAAATTGTGAAAAATCAACGGTAATTCCTAGGTACTTAAAACTTGCACTTAATAAAATTGATTGGGCTACAAATCTGCATACTCTAAAAAATTCTAAAAATCTGATTAAAAAGTTGAAAATTTTCATGAAAATTTGCTGAATTTTCGCGAATTTTGCACAAAGTTTAGGAATTATATTTATATTTTTTTTGTTTTTGAATGAATCATATTTTTATACAAAATTGGCGAAAAATATTAGAATACAAATTGTTGCATATATTGTAAAAAATTTGCTGTGCCAATACTTTGTTCCGGCAGTGTAGAAAAAGTCCGAAGGCTTTAAACTTAAACTTAATTAAACTGTTCGAAATGGATTGCGTAAATGGAAGGCTTGCAACTCTCTCAGCCCGGCCATATCATATTTCATTGTAGGTTTTCCAAGATAAAATTAGGAAAGGAACCTATTCTGTTACGGCTACTGCACTTACAAATATAAAAGAAACCAACCCCAATACTTCTTTCGGTACTACGTGTGGTATACGTTACCTGCAATAAGGTACATATCGTCGTTTAAAGTACAAAACCGCGTATCGTCATTCTGCAAAACCGCGTAACTGACATTGGCTGCCAAAAATTGGATTTGCTCACACAAGCTCTTGGCTCAATCCTTATCCATTCGTCCTGAAATATACTAGCCAGAAATGCGATTGCTTTATAAAAAAGATAACCATTTTGAAATATGAGTGTTTTTACACTCTAGAAAATAATTGCTGCAATCTCACATACGCGGTTTTGCATTTTGTTGATACGCGGTTTTGCACTTTAAACGACGATATGCAGACTTGTGATGGCTTGTGCGTGTTACTTACGCATAACTTAAAATTCTCAGCATTCCATAGAGGGGTGAACCCCTTAAATCAAAATTGCAACCCAGAAGTACATACATATGTACATATGTATCTCGTTTTTCAAAACAAGTAATTTTAAAGCAAAAATTACAACCTACTTCAATGCTCATATGGCAAATTCAAAAGTTATCCTGTAAACATATCCCAATGAATTTCTAACCTTTCTCATTTTTTTTCTCGTCTTTTAAAAAACGCAAGTCTATAGTTTAAAACTCAGTACAAACTTAAATATATAGCATTTAAAAACTTAACCAGCTACCGATGTAAGCCACTTAATGGACTTTCATAAGCTTTTAATCCGGGTTTTTTATAAATGGCACAAGGTAAATCTCCTTTCTGAACGAATAACGCGCCTCTTTTATTTGATTGCAGTTGTCTATCGTTAGGGCGCTAACCCCACAAAGAACATTGAAAACCAACCTAACGATTATAAGAAAACAAAATTAAATATTGCTCTATAATTATTACTGAACAATGGAAAAGTTGTTTTCGTTTCACGGGACGATTATTTTAAAATGTAAATTATTTTCGTCAACTCATAATAATTATATGGGACTTTTATTTGTTTTCGTTTCGCGGGACCTTTATTTCAAGACGGAAATTATTTACGTCTTCTCATAATAATTATATGGGATTTTTATATTTTGTCGTCTCTCGGGACGTTTATTTCAATACGAATATGATTCATGTCTTCTCCAAATAATTATATGGGACTTTTACCGAATGAAACTTCTTAATTTGGTTCGGAGATTTAAAATAAATAAATATTTAACTCCAAAAATGTGATGTCAAATTAAAGGGCTTTGCTTTTACGTGCTTTTAGTTTATTGAAAGGGGTTGCCAGATGTTAGAAAATCAAATTCCAATAATCGAACTCGCAGATATTTGCGTTTATTTTGGTGAAATCGGCAGTACATGTACCGATTATATTAAGAGAAAACGTAAATCATTGCCGTCTTGAAATAAACGTCCCGAGAGACGAGAAAAATAAAAATCCCATATAATTATTATGAAAAGGCGTGAATAATTTCCATCTGAAAATAATCATCCCACAATATTTCTCGTAAATAATTATTATACAAAGACGAAAAAAATTTCTTTTACAACAAGGCGACGTTTTTGATCTTAAATATTAAGATAATAATTATTTTGTGTCTCTGGTGTAATTCATATACATACATACATGGGCTTTACAGGCTCTTGGCTTTTTATGGTGGAAAGTCTCAATTCGTTTACTGAATACTATATAGTTACATATGTACATATTGCACATATAAAATTATATGTATTTACGCACTCGTCAGTTTACAAAAGTTAATTAATTTAGTTAGTTTTTATTTTCATTTAATCAATTGTAAAGATTTCGAAGTTGATTCCGTTGAAAGAAGTGTCGACATCATAAACGGCGAAAGACATTTAGAACTCGTTTCAAAAGGATTTTGCAATTGCTTTTGTGAAATCTCGGATGCTTTGGGGCAAACAATATTGACTTGACGTTCTTGTTTGCGAAATTTGGCGCGTCTGTTTTGGAACCAAACCTGAAATTGAAAAATATGATTGAAGTATTCTTTGATTTTATGTGAATTTGATTGTTTTAACGATAATTATTATAAAGAAATACTTGTGTCAATATAAAAAATAACAACTTCCATGTTGGTAATTTTCTTAATATCTTATTAATGTCGCACATTGTTGCCAAACTGGAATTTTGTGTACAAAATAGTCCAGAAACTTGATCGGTTAAAAAGATCTGCTTAATTTAGAGGCGACTTGACTTGTCGGTCCCGATTTTTGCATTTTTATCTGTTTATATTAAATTTTTTAGAATTTTGAAGAAAATCGATTCCCCTACTCCTGTAAATAAATGTTAAATGATAAAAACTAGTTGAAAACAATGTAAAAAAAATTGAAAAGTAAAAGTTTAGGTTTATGAAAAAATGTTCATCAAAATTGCATTTTTTTCATAATTTCAAAAAATATTTTAGGTATGCAGTTTATACACTTTATGACACTAAAATTTAGTGCCATAAAGTGCAAGTTTCAAGTACCTGCTGAAGTTTCGAGCAAACTGTATGTACCCTTATGTTCAGCTGATTAGGCTAAGTGACATTTTGACCAGTTTTGGCTATTTTCTTTTATTTATTTAATATTTATATTTTTAATAATTTTTTACCTAATGCCTTTTAATTATTTAGTTTTGTATGGATGCCTAAACAATGATGGTGCTAGGCATTTTTTTTCATTTTCGAGCATAATTTATATGGAAGAAAATGCACAACATCGTCAGCCACAAACATTTTTTAAAATCAACGCAATTTCTGGCGTCTTGAAAATTGCACTTAAACCTGCTGAAATTTACTAGGCTTTAACTAAAATTCTGAATAAAAGTTTAAAATATTTGGGTGCAATTGTTGAAGTTTATTGAACTTTTATAAATTATTTTATTGAATTTAGAGAAAAGTTTGAAATGTTATGCTGGTTTTCTAATGTCGTTCTGGTTATATAGCGTGCTACAATTTTATAAAAAAAATTATAAACATTAAATAAACAAAAGAATAAAATTATAGTTTAAAAAACTAGAACCTCCCTATTATAATTGCCATTCGTACTGTCATCAAGTATGTAACGTGAGAATAGAAATCGCTGCATCTTTTAGGCGCATCAATATTACATAGTTACATCCCGAGCTAATAAAAGGAAGGTAAAAATAGCCGAAACCGGTCAAAATGTCACTCAACTTAATCTGCTGACCACAAGTGTATATGGAAGAATATGCCTAGCAGCGTTAGAAAAAAATAATTAAAAATCAACGCGAATTCTTAGTAAAAAAATGCATACCTAATTTTTTTTAGTACAGAATTTCGTTTTTGTTTTGGGGGAACTCCGTAATGGTTTCCACTAGTTTTTAATATCTAACAATTATTTACAGGAACAGAAGAATCGAATTTGTATATAAACAAATATGAATTTTGATTAGCTCTCATAAAAAAAAAATATTTATAAAATTAGTTGAAACTGAAGGCTTTGGTCTATTTTGTACAGCAAATTCTAGTTTGGTGTCATTTGATTCGCCGGGATTGTAATAGCCGCCAGCTTGAAAACTTGGTCAACTTTGTTTCATCTCAGGCGATAGTCATTTTTTGGACTCAACCAAGCTATGCCCAAATGCTAGTATGTACCATACGCATTAATATTATTCCAAAATGATTTCGCTCGGCCTCAGCACAATTCTTTTTCTCGGTGGCTTAAAATTTCCACTTTGTGTTCGAAAATCTAATTTTAATGTATATTATTTTTTGTGTGAAACTATTTCAAATACATACATAGGATTACATGATCCTTGTCTGAGATGACCTATAATAAAATTTAGCAGAAAATGTTTTCAAAGAAACTTTAAACCCTATAACTCCTCCCAGGATGGGGGTTTTGACCCAGTTTTGGAATTGGCAGTTATAGGGTTAAAATGTTCCATAAAAATTCTATACTTGGGGTCACTGAAAAGGAAAATGCTCTACGAATTAAAAGGGAAGAGTAAATACATAATGTGATAATCATGGAAAATATTATAATATTTTCCCAAAACGAGGTAGTGAACCTTCCGCAGAATCTGTCTTTCTAAAAATCCAAGAGCATTTGCGTACTCAGACCAAAGTAGCACTTATGGCACAGACCCACGCTCTTTGATGCTCTATCTAACTCCGAGGAGGCAGAACAGTCGTAGCCAATCCGAATTTATACAAGTTTGTATTGCTAGAATTCGCCGCAGTCCGTCTGAATGTCAAAATTATGTGTTTGATGTATTTTTGGGTTACTTCTTGACGTTACTGTCAGAGTCGTTTTGACAGTACTACATACATATACTCATTTAGTAGCAGAGCATCTAAGATTTCTTTAAAAGATTTTTCTTGTTTATAAAATATTTCTCGTTCTCGAATGCTCTTGATGATAGGCGATACTTCCTTTAGTTACGATTCAGCTTTAGGGCCATTTATTTCCTCAGCCGACTATTGATGTTGATATCGTCGGCATGTGCATCAAATTCTTCTCAAGCATCAAATTAAAGAAATCGGGTTGGCTTATATTTATCTAATTGCATACATACAGTATGGGTTATATCAATAGTACCGTCATTTCATACCGTTCGGGTGAAACCGCACTTTATACTCCTGGCGCAGGTATCAAATATCGTCGTTTTAAATTTCTCTAAACTACCTTTGCATGATATGAAGGAGTGTCTACCCCGATTTCAAACGTTTTCGATAATATGCTGCGTCTGATTTAATTGGACAAAGTTTGGTAGAATCGATAAAGTGGTTAGCGAGATATACCTTTGTAGTCATAAAGCGGGCGCTGCCACGCCCAATTTTTAAAAGTCCATAGCAGTCTTATTTATTGTAATTTTAATGTAAATGTAAATTAGCGTCCTCAGTTATTTAAATATCGGAGTTTTCGTGTGTCTGAAATTTACCGTTATACAGCAAGTGGGTGTAATTTTAGTCCGATTTAAATAATTTTCAAGTAATTGCTTTTCTGTACCAAGGGTGCACCGGGTTTGGTAGAAATTGATAAATCGGTTACCGCGATACACATTTGTGGTCATAAGTGGGCGGCGCTACGCCTATTATCCAAAAATTCATAATAATCTAAATTTCTGGTGAGTGGTTATTGCAATCATCGATTTATAGTGAATTAGCTTCAGTAGTCACTGATTTATCGCAGTTTTCGTGTTTCTATAAATTACCATTATATGGGAGGTGGGGGTGATTATAGGCCGATTTTAAAGATTTTCAACAGCTTTCTTAGCTAGGTCCTAGACAAGGCTCGTACCGAGTTTGTTAAGGAAGCGGATATTGAGATTCAGTATTTCATCATAAGTGGGAGAGATCACGCCCATCTTCCAAAAATTTCATAATAATATTATTTTGTATCAATATTACACTTCGCATACTAATTCTCAACAACGTAGATCCAATATTTACTGTAATATCGTAGTACTTGAATTTTTCGAAAATACCGTTATATTGGAAGTGGGCATAGTTACAGTCCGATTTTCAGTACCAACCTACCCTGGATAAAGGTTAACCTACTTACCAAATTTGGTTGGGATATCTCAATTTTCGCTCGAATTATCGCATACAAGGACGGACGGACAGAAGTTTGAAACTTGGATGAAAATTTTAAGATTTTTTTTTTCAGTTTTCTGCAAAGTTTTAAACTTTGAGTTTAGTCATAGAAAGAACTGTATTTTAATTAAAAATTCTTAAAAATTAATAAATAAACATCAGTGGCAAACAATAACACTGTGAAATGGGGGTGCTAATGATATGACCTATACTGTAAGTATGCACAAGCAATTACACAGATATGTGTACAGTTAAGAGAGCTTTATTCTCTGCATCTAAAGAATCAAAGAATCTGGTGTAAAAAAAAACCAAAAGTTCGGGTATCCAAAATATTTTCACATAGCTTGTAGATGAACTATTTTTGGGCATAATTACACGCTCATATATACGTTTAGCATGACCAAGCACTTAACTTAATTGAAAACAAAACATTGACTTACACCACCTCTTCTCATTTTTTCACCCTTAAACAATAATTTTATTTACAGTAAACATTTTCTCAATTGTCGGATTAGTTCATCTGCAATACTCCCCTATTTAATTGGCTGTGACTTGCTTTCAGATCTCGGCACGTGACTCCCAATATACATACATATGTACATACACACGTACATATATATATATATATATATATGCACGAACGTGCGTACATACATATATCAGCACTCGTACTTAACGTGCATTTTATAGACGCGACAGCTCGTAAATGAAAATGAGAGATGATTTGTGAGCTTGGAAAAGTGAAAAATGATTCCATCTCATAATTAAAAAACAAAGTAAAATATAACGAAATTCCGTTGGGATTTGAACTTAGACACTTGAAAATATGTATACAAAGCAACAAACACACATACAGATGTTCTCTTTGAACTGCCACTCATAGGCTTAGGCTAGATTAAGGAAACTGTTTGCGAAAAAAAAAACAATTTTCTAACAAATTAAGTATTTTTTTTTTTGTGAATAAAAGAAGAAATTGTTTTCCAACCTACCTGCACACGCGCTTCAGTAAGCTCTATTTTCATTGCGATCTCCTCGCGTGTATAAATATCAGGATAATGTGTCTCTTGGAAAATTTTTTCCAATTCCTTGAGTTGTTTGGACGTAAATGTCGTTCGAACCCGTCGTTGTTTTTGTTTATCTTTGTAGAATGGGATGGGATTATAGCTACTCGTTGACCATTCTGAAAGAATCAAAACATTTTAGTGTTCTTTTGATACAAAATATGAATAAATAAATAAATGTCGTTAGTTCAGCAGTTTCTGTCGGTTTCTTGTAAATTGTACATCCTGCGTCAAAATTATAAGACCACCCCATACTGAGAACTTATGACAATTAATTTTTTGTATTTTAGTTTTAGTTTCTTTTATAAAAATACAATTTATTCTTTAATAAAAGCCGTGTGAATCCAAGTTTTACACTTTGGCCAAGATTTAAAAAATTTACATTTAAATTTTTTGGTTTAATTGCAGTTTTTTTATAAAAATATAGTTCATTCTTTAACAAAACCCCTATCACGGCTTAGATAGCGCGTTTTTAAACCACTTGTTGAGATAGGTGTTCATCAACCAAATTCTTAGATAGGGCGTTTTTCAATCAAATTCTGAGATGGGGAGTTTATCAACCAAATTCTGAAGTAAGGCGTTCTTGAGCAATTTTATGAGACTTGCTTCTAATTTTGACGCGGCGGCGGAAGACGTGGATATGGTGGGTAGTACTACCCACCTGAAATTGTTAAAGGTGGTTAGTTACCCACCTGAAAATTTTCTAGAAGAAAAATAAGTCCAATTGAAAATCCTGTTTTAATCACACCTGAAGAGTATTTTCGGAAGATATATTATGAAATTTTTGACAAAGTTAGTTTGACAAGTAGGTTTGATACCGTGGTATAATAATTACAGGTATTGTCTTCCCAGAGAGTTTTCTTTCACATCGAAATTCATGATCCCTTATTTTCATTTTGATGCAGTTCAATGTTGATTCTTTTACTTTTATTTGGCTTTGCTTTTTGTTTTCGCTCAATTTAATTTTTATAATTTTTCAAAACAACAATTGTACGCTCTTGTAAAGTATTGTGCCTGAGCGGTTCAGTACTGCGGCTCTTATTATCTTCTCCAAAATCAGATTAAAGAAATCACACGAAAGGGAGTCCCCTAGTCTGAAACCTCGTTTGGTATCAAACGGCTCGGAGAGGTCCTTCTCTACTCTGACGGAGCTGGTGGTATTGCTCAACGTCATTTTACACAGCCGTATTAGTTTCGCGGGGATACCAAATTCAGACATCGTGGCATAAAGGCAACGTGCTGTCGAAAGCGGCTTTGAAATCGACAAATCCTAGTCTCGCGGGTCTTTTCCAATATTTGGCGAATTGTGAATACCTGCTCTATCGTGGATTTGCCAGGCCTAAAGCCACACTGATAAGGTCCAATCAGGTTCGCACAATACACTCGATAAGACCTTATAACCTATGCTTAGAAGGCTGATTCCGCGGTATTTGGCGCGTATGGCGGGGTCTCCTTTCTTGTGGATTGGGCAGAGCACACTTAAATTCCAGTCGTCGGGCATGCGTTCATTTGACCATATTCTACATATGAGCTGATGCATGCACCTCATCAGCTCCTCGCCGTCAGCTCCAGCAGCTTTGTTGTTTTTTCAGCTGCGTAATCGCTATTCGTACCTCGTCATAGTCAGGCGGTGGGACATCTACTCCATCATCATCGACTGGGGACTCGGGTTCGTCTTCGTCAATACTTTCAGCGCTGCTACCATTCAGTAGGCTGTACAAGTTTTCCCTCCACATTTTAAGTACATTCTGGAATCGGTCACTAGGTCGCCATTGTTGTTCTTACAGGAGTTCGCCCCGGTCTTGAAACCTTCCGTAATTCGCCTGACCCTCTGGTAGAATTTTCGGGCGTTCTTCCTGTCGGCCAGCATCTCAAGCTCTTCGCACTCACGTATTTCGGCCTCTCTCTTCTTATTGCGGCAAATACGTCTCGCTTCCTTCTGTAGTTCCCTATAACGGTCCCAAATGGCTCGCGATGAGCCCGATCACAGCGTAGACCTATAGGCGGCGTCTTTTTTCTTTGCGGATTCTTGACATTCCTCATCGTACCAGTTGTTCTTTCGGGCTCGCTGAAATCCAATTACTTCTTCGGCTTCGGTACTTAATGATCGAGAAATGTAGTTCCACTGCTCGCGTATGTCGGATTGTTGAAGAGTGCTCTCAAAGAGCAGGTATGTGAGTCGAGTGGCGAATAAATTGGTCGTCTGTTGTGATTGCAGCTTTTCGACGTTAAACTTTCCTTGCATTGTTGGGCGCACTTTTTTTTGCTGCACAGAGGTGGGTGCGTGTCTTGGCTACAACAAGATAGTGGCCCGAGTTGATGTTTGGCCCTCGGAGTGTACGTTTGTACGTCTAAAACGCTTGAAGCATTTCTTCCGTCTATCACAATATCATCGATTTGGTTTCTCGTTTTTCGATCTGAAGACAGCCATGTAGCTTGGTGGATGTTCTTATGCTGGAACCTAGTACTACATATTACCATGTTTCGGGCCCCGGCGAAGTCGATCAGTCTCAGTCCGTTATCGGACGTTTCGTCATGGAGGTTGAATTTTCTGACAGTGGCGCCAAAGATACCTTCCTTGCCCACCTTGGCATTAAAATCGCCAAGCACGATTTTGACATCGTGTCGGGGGCAGCGCTCATATGTACGTTCCAAGCGCTCATAGGAGAGATCCTTTGACGCCTCATCCTTCTCTTCCGTACGGGCATGGGCGCAGATGAGCGAGATGTTGAAGAATCTAGCTTTGGTGCGGATTGTGGCTAGACATTCGTCCACCGGGGTGAACGCCAGTACTCGGCAACGGAGTCTCTCTCCTACCATGAATCCAACACCGAATTTGCGCTCCTTTACGTGGCAACTGTAGTAAACGTCGCAAGGCTTCACAGTTACTTTTCCTTGCCCCGTCCATCGCATTGCTTGGATGGCACTGATGTCAGCCTTTGTCTTCCCGAGGACATCAACCAACCGGGCAGAGGCACCTTCCCCATTAAGGGTCCGGATATTTCAGGTACATACTCTCAAATCATAGTCCTTTATACGTTTGCGGTGGTCGTCATCAAAAAAAGGGGGTCTCATCCGAGGTTTGTTGGAATTTTTCTGCGCACGGAACCATTTTCCAAGGTGTTATTCCATCTCAAACCAACTGTTGGCATTTTCATAATAATTTTAGAATTTTTGAAATTTTAAAATTAATTTTCTGCGACAATAAGAAACAAAAATGTCAACATCGTTCATTAAAAAATTAACATCCCTATTGCGAGTGTCGACTAACAGTAGATAAACGACTGTTAGTCGCAATAGTGGTGTAAGTAAAGTGTTCTGTTCACTTAAGTTTAATGTTCATTAAATGTCATTAATGAATCATTAACTGGGTCTGCGAGGGAGGAATTCATGCTGTACAACACCTTAAGTAATCATTAAATGACCCTTAGCGCGGCTGATATCCATTTACAACATATCGTCGGTGATACTGCAAAACGGTCTATGTCTATTAGTACCCTTGACACTTAGATGGTCTCTTACTTGCACCGGAATGCATCTGCAAATGGTTACACTCTAATGAACGAATGGCAAAACTGTCTACCTTTGGCTGATGAAGATTTACTATTGCCAGAAGCGATCAGATACATATAAAAAATCAATTAAGCACCCATGGTAATAAGTGACATAGAACGTTTTGCTGTATCACCGACGATATGTAAACCTAACTTTCCGACGCTTGAATTGCTATTAACGTTTTGGATTTTCTTCAACTTTTTTCACTCACCTAAGCCACGCTCGTAATCATCAGAATTATATCCAAAATATAATAACGAACCACTTATTTCTGATTTTGAGCTCACGACGGTGTCATTTTTAAGCGATTCTGCGCGATATTTTTCACTTTTCGGATGGCACAAAGTTGTTGGACAGTCCGCAATTTTATTATTTTCAATAGAAATTCTATCAAAAGATCGCAAATAATTTTCTGTGTTTAAAAAGAAATTCGTCTGAGGGTTCATTTTATTTTCCAAACCACTATTATATTTCACAAACATGAGGATTTTTGGCACAACTTCCAAAAAAAAAAAAAATGCCTTTCATTGATTATTTGTTTGTCATATTTAATATGTATTGGTATTTATGATTATTGATTGTTATCATCATTTTTGAATGCCTTAATTAAAAACAACACTAGCGTAAGATCATTTAAAAAAATATGATAAAGTGCTTTTATCTAAATCTATACAAAATATTAGCAAACTTGTATTCGTGGAAGTAGTAAAACAATTACTGTGATGTATAATAAGAGCGATGCTGTGATAACATTACACACACAAGGACATTCAAATAAAACACATTTGTGGGTGTTAACCAATTTAGCAGTGAAAATAAGGGTGAAAATTGAAAGTTTTGCTTGCACTCTACAATAGGTCGAAAGTGAAGATAAATTTTAAAAGCAAATAAGTGCTTCAAATACATAATACGAGTACATATATTCTCACCTACTGTGAAGGGTACAATATATTAAAAGTTACAACAAATTTATTGAATTTCTGCAAAAATATGTATCCAACTGGTTCTAGTTTTTGAGAGATTTCCTAAAATGGAGCATGTCAGCGGAAAGTACACAATCATCATCAATTCGGGTTATTTTGTAATGAAAGCCGTCATCGATTCGCCAACAGTTAGCGAGTGGCGAAACGAACGAACTCAATAAGGTACAACCAAACTCGCTATCGTCTATCCGTGCTAGCTAACTTTGTTGTTGCTTTCACATGCAAAATTGTTCGTTAAGCGACCGGAACTCAAACATAGCAAGCAGCGAAGTGGCGAATCGATGACGGCTGAAATTTCCAGAAAAATCATCGAACGATAAATAGGTGTTTTCGAACTGGCTGCCAAGATAGGTCGATCTGCCACGCAGGTATCGATTTGTTTTAACTTGTTTCCCGAAGTAACAATCATATGTACATACATATGTATGTATGTCAAGGGTTTGCAGTTCTAAGAAAGCTACGTACATATAAGCCTTATTTTTGCGATTTTTCGGTTTTATTCTGCCTCACTACTCTTCCGCGAGTGTTTTAAAAGGCGTCAGAAATACGCTCCCAAAAAGTATAGTTCTTTCTACACTCACATCCTCTCTAGGAAGTGGAGTTGGAGGGAGGCACCGCTGAACTTTTACACGGATGGATCGTAGTTTGACTACATGAATGGTTTTAACGAATTTAAATACTCGTAGCTACTCTGATAGCTAAGCTGCAATCAAGACCCTGGGTTCGTTCACATGAATGTCTCATCTCCCTCTCGGTGTCATCTGATTATTTCCTCTCAGACCTTTAAGTATCAGGGCATGTGCTACTGCCAAGTCTTTCTGATCGAGGCCAAAATTCTCAATTCTGGTGGATTTATGGACAGGACAATGTTCGACTGGGATTGGAAAATTTCGTTCCCAGCACGCAGCGTTTTTGGGGCAACCAAGTCAGCATAACCTAACCTAACCTAGAGCCAAAGTGTTATTATATAAGCAAACCCCGAACCGGCCGCAAACCAGCCGCACTCAATTTTTTTTTTTTTTGTTTACTTTAAAGGGATACAGGGTACGAACGAATTCTCATATGCGGACTATATTTCAATTGTACCTATATTTTATGGGAGGTGCTACATGGTTTTGTATTTTTGTACGCATGTACGTACATACATATGTATGTATGTACATAATCATGCAAAGATTCATTCATTGCCACTGTATCGTAATATCTACATTTATTGCTATCACAAATTAAATCCTACCTTTTTTCACTACCACAAACCGTATACACACACGCACACGCATATAATCAAAGCAAAGGAAGGAAAAATCCAGTGTGAAATATGCTTCATTAAACTTTGTTTACATACAAATGTTTGTGTATATATTATCGGGGGAAGTCTGTGTTTGCTGTTAATTAACGAAAAAAGGATAATCAGTCTTGTTATGCAATGTTAAAAAAAAAAACAGGAAAAATAAAGCGTTAAGTCAAAACTTAAACCCGCGCGTAGATTTGACCTCAAGTTTCAGTGAAAGTTCTTCATTAATGTTGCAAGCATAATTTTACGCCTGTGCATTAGATAGGGTCGGGCACCATAAGAAAGAAAAAAGGTTGTGTAGTACACAGCCCCCGCCCCTTCTCGTTTTGAAGCTTACTTCGAGAGGATTTTTCGGTCATAGCAATTTGCGTCCATGCCACGCCCTAAAGAGCGCAAAATTAGACTTTTAGTCATACATTTTTTTTTTTTATTCAAGACTCAATTTAAAATTTGTATTCTACTTATTATGAACAACTTCGAAACATACTAAAATTTTTAATTTTATGGCAACTTGATTTCAGTTGGATGGAAATTGAAATATGTATATATGTATACTCTTTTAAAATATAAGTCACGTATAAAAGAAAGCAAAAATTTCCCCCTCCACTTTCCCATTAACAATTCACAATAGAGCAGTTTTTTCACTTACCAACACTAGCCTTCAAGTCGGGTATTTTTTAACCGACCTGGCTGAGCTTTGTTTGTATTTCGTCATTTAAGCGAGTGTTCTTTTGTAGCTCGGTTGCAAAAGAATGCACCTACTGTTAATGTAGCAAAGCTATTTATGGCAAAGTCTAGACATCAACCTAGTCTAGATATCAACCTCGTCGTAGGTATCATATCACAGACATACAATTAGAAAAACTCTAGAGATAGATGTCGCCTCGCCAGAAAAAGTTAAAAATATCCACTACATACGCTACAGCGGAAATGGACGACACGCCATTTCTTTTAATGAAATTAATTGCTGCTATATGTATGTATGTACTAAATGTGAGCAAACAACATTTTGCTTGCATAGTCTTTTGATCTCTTCACTGCAAATTGAATTATTTTAGTATCTATTGCTAAATTTTATACAGACAAGACTAAAAAGTATAAAATAAATTTAAAAAAAAAAAACTTTTTAATGTACCACACTTTTATAAATGGACTAAAATTATAAAATAATATTTCTCAGTCCCATAGAACTTGTTTTGATAATTTTTGATTTTGAAATTTTAGCAAAAGTCATTATAAACAATTTATGAGATTGAAAATGAAAAGCGTGGACGCATGTAATACACTTGAATTGATATGAAAAGTAACATATGCATGTATGTGGGCATATGAATAACGACCGCTTAAAATCGATCTCAAATTTGTACTTTCGCTGTAGAATGTGATGTAGTTTGACTATTGTCAATGAAATCGAATGCTTTGTACTGCATGCGCTCCACGTTTTTCGTTTTCAATGTTATTAATTGTTTATAATGACTTTTGCTAAAATTTCAAAATCAAAAGTTATCAAAACAAATTCTGTGGGACTGAGAAATATTATTTTCTACTTTTTTAGTCCACTTATAAAAGCGTTGTATATTAAAAAGTTTTTTTTTAATTTTATTTATTCATCAATAGTTTTCATGTTTTTATCAGTAACAAAATCCAACCAGAAATCTAAATTTTCGGTCCATGTATTTATCTATTGTTATAAATTCATTAGAATTGGAGTTGGATTCTTCAAGGGTTTCTGATAACTCAAATAACGAACCTAAACCACTGCGCAAACCAAACTAAATGTGTGCATAACAATCACATTTTATGTGGGAAGTCCCCTTTTCCATTTAGTAGTCCGCCTATGAGGAGTTCGCGTCCGCTCAACGGAGGTTTTTGTTTGATTTGTTATGAAAAGAAATCTTAATGTCCGTTGATAAGAGGTTCGCGTCCGCTGTCCGCGTCCGGCCAAGAGAGTGTCCGCTTAAGAGAGAGTAATTTATTCCGAAATTTATACTTAAAACTTGGTATAGGAAAAAATGTCCGCCCAAGGGAGATGTCCGTTTAATAGAGGTGTCCGTTAGGAGAGGTTTCACTGTAATTGGTTTTACTGGCCACACTTTACTGTTAACCTATAACAGGATATTTAAACGATATAAAGTATTAAAAAATATATTTTCATCAGGGCAAACATTTTTGTGACGGATAAAGACTTTTTAAAACGCTCAAGCCAGCTGGTTTTAACCATTGGTTAAACAAATGTCAGCTGGTTGAGAAATATGGACGCAGTTTACGCGATCTTAGATTTAAACTGGCATTGAAAAACTGGCCCTAAGAATATTTTCACACCAATTGGGGTAATTTCTAATTTTTTTTTTCGCGATTCAGCCTAATATGTATATGGACGTGCATAAGCATATAATTATATGCAAGTGAAATGCATAATAATAATAATAATAAATTTGCGCTTACACAATATGTTCATGTTTGGCCGAGCTTCTCCTCTGATTTGTGGCGTGCGCCTTGATATTGTCTACAGTTTAACGCCGACTCCGAACGGCGATGGTAGAATACACCCGGAGGTTTGCCATTTCCTGCCGAGGAGTGAACGCTATTAGAAAAAAAATTTCTGTTTTATTTTTTGGTGTTGGTCGAAATTTGGGCTCAAACCCAGACCCAGCATAACGGTAGTGCGCACTGCTAACCACTACACCACAGCGGCCGCCAGTGAAACAAATACATACATAATAATACATGCATCCTATCGAAATGTCACCCTGAAGGAAAGAATGGTCCAATTGCTCGAAAAATATAGATAAGTATAGTAGTTTTGTAACTATACCAAAAATAGTCCAAAAATTTAAATCAATGTAATGTAAAACAGGTGAATTGTACTAAAAGTGGTCCGAATGTAATCCCTGTAGGACCTCGGAATAGACTTAGTGCACACCACAAACTAGACTGCAAGTGATTGTAACTAGTCCAAAGTTTGGTCCAAGAACATGTAAAATTCTATTTAATATATATATATATATATATAATTGTATATATATAATTGTCCGCTTCTGCATTACATATGCAAAAACAAAAATAAAACTTGCGCCAGCTGCGATTCGAACCGGAGTTCTCAGATTTTTTAAGCGGATACTCTCTCTACATGCCAACGCCGTACATGAAAATTCGTTGACTAAGTGCCTACATATCAGCAAATGCGTAATTATACCCATTGTCCGCTACTGCATGACATAACCAATTTTAGAACAAAACTCCTACCTCTAAGTCTATTCCGAGGTCCTACAGGGCAGCTTTATAGGGATGGACACATACGTACATACATACATACATACGTAGTTATTGTGTGCGAAATATGCATAATTTGGTGGTGTAACTTCATCAAAAATTGTTAACAGTTTTATGTGGGTGGCGATTCGCATACCGTGAATCAATCTACACTGAAAAAAATACAAATATATAGTCTACAGTAATGCAAAATCGTACCCTAAGCCAGTACGTATTTTTTCCTTCGTTTACTCTACACCAAAGGCTCTTATTAAAGGCGACCGAGACTGTTTGTTGCCTGATCTAAGTAATAAATACCGGAAAACAGAAGTGTAGAGACAGGTGTGTATTTTTAGTTGGTCTTCTGTAGGATGGCACCTCACGAAACCGATTGCGAGGCAAAATACCAGAAAAATCGTATCAAAAGATACAAATTTGTTATTATTTTAAATTCTATGCATATGCATATTTATTGTTTTAAAACAAAAACAAAACATTTGAATTTCAATAACATTTGTAATCTTTTAAGTATTGTATTATATTT